CTACGAAGGACCCAGAGTGGCCTACAAGTTGGACGTTCGGAGGTTGGTGGTGGGGTCCATGCAAAGGATGAACAGTGGACTACGCGTGGTAGAGATGACGAGGCAGAGGAGACTGGGGACGTCCGAGGGATTACACTGATTTTAAGGGATTGGTTTTCGGGATTTGCCGACGACACAAAAGGACGGCAACGCTTAATTGGATGTCCTTTGGGTTTATTGATTTTACTATCGCCGCCACCGTCACCGCCGTCCCTACGAGCTCTTCGCCACCGCCTCGTTTCTACCACTCACCGTCTGCGCCGCGTCCTCCTCCTTTCCGTCCGTCCGTCCATATCTCTCCTTTCGTTCGCGCCACGTCCGGTCGGCCGTCAGCGGTGGCCGTTAAGTTCCCAAAGGTCCGCCGGGGGACTCTTTCATTTACATAATGCCCACACCCTTCCACCTCTGCCGCGACCGTCGTACTGTTCCGCTCGCCCACCGACAGCTCTTCACGCGCACACTTACCTAACTACATCTGCATAAACACGCACGCGCGTATGTATATATGTACATATTCTCACTGGACGTGGCACCACGGTCGCAAGGGACAAAGATGACGACGACGTGGGTGTGCGAGGGACGGGAGTAGGTCGCGGGCGGCGAAAGGGAGATTGGAAAACATTCGAGTGACGTTTTCCAAGATGGCCGGCGGCGGCCCCTTGACCCGCCGCACACACAGCGACGCGGCGTGTTTCTCTCTGACTCACCGAGCAACAATGATTTATTACGAAACGCCACAGCCGTCGTCGTCGACCTCTCCTCCTCTTTTTGCGCGTTTGTTCGCACGTGTGCGTGTACGTGTGCGTTTGTGTCAACCGTGTTCGCTTCCGTCATTGCGCACGCGGTCCAAACACACACCGTCCGCCCGCAAGCACCGCGAAATGAAGAAGATTCCTTCTGTTCGGCAACGCGATAGGGGGAAGATTGGACACGCGAGCGCAGGGATGGGAATGGGGAGCGCGGACGGGGCAAGGGTCGCGCAGAGGTATAATGTCGTACATACCGCAGACGAGGCGCTTCGCAATTCCAATTTCACCTACGACCCCGCGCGCGCACCGCTACACGACCAGGGAGAACTGATTAAAAACGCTCAGCGAATTTGCTTACGTATGTTGTACACCTATAAAGGGCTGCACGTGTGTTTGTCAGTGTGTGCAGGCACATATTAATGGACGTTTCTTTTTTTCGACATTTTTCGAAAACATTCCGTTTCCACCCGATTTAAAAAATCGTTTACGTACGGAGAAACAGTATTACTTTCATGGATTTGTACATTTATTTCGCTACGCTATAATAATTATGATAATACCAATGCATTTACACATATGATTGCGTTATTCTTAGGTTAAAAAAATAAAAAGTCAAAAAACGAAATCGCATTAAACACATACTTAATTAATACAATTATGATTAATATTTCATAGTGACGCAACTGTTCAACGATTTAAAATTGTTCTATATAATTCCATCGTTCTGAGGAACAACAATAATTTCGATAATACGGTTCGAAATGTGTTATTTTTTTTTTCAGTAAATTTATGCATTTTACATGCGGTTACATTTTTATTCAATTAAAATATTACATTGCATTATTGTCATCAATTGTAATTTATTTGTAAAAATTTCTCGAGTACATTATTTTTGTAAGTCTAATATTTATTTTCAGTTTCGTGTTCTGAATAACAGTAATTTTTTTTTTCGAACAGTTTAATTTATAAAAAAAAATAAATACAAAAACTCTAATATTGTACATGAGTACTTATTAGTGTTTAGAGTGCGGGGATAAGTGGTGTAGTGGAATGACAGTCGTATAACTACCCCACACGGTTTTAGTGCACTTCTCTTCTACGTCAATTGATACTATACACACACACACACACACACACACACACACACGTAGTTTTCGATGGTAAATCGAAATAATAATAACATTTTTACTACGGTACGTCCGTCTATAATTCTTCGTCCACGCATATGCCGTACAACAGTACCATTAAAATATAGTGCAGCGCATTATATTCCGTACGGATTTGAAGCTGCACTAAAAAAAAAAAAAAAAAAATGTCTCGAGCGATTCGGAGAAAACGTACTATTAGCATATTCTATAAAAAAAAAAACAACAATGATACGCAGTGCACGGTAGTGGATATTTAATCGACGGTAATATTGTTTACAGGAAACGTCATCGACGTGCGCAAGAAGTTTCCGTATTCGTCGACATGAGTTCGAACGAACTCGTTGCCGCCGTCGCAAAACCGCAGCAACACCTAACCAGGTTAGTTACCAGGTACACCGCACGCGTTCACGGAATGGAACGTTGAGTGACACATTGCGAATACGACGCACATCGCGCATTAGAATATACTTAGGACCACGGATTCGATTAGGTTAGGTTATTAATACCGCGTCCACGCCATTAATGTAAAATACGAATAATTTTAACCAACCTTTAGTGTCGTCAATAACCGAATTGTTTCAGTCCGTATTGTTATGAAACGTCTTTTTCATATCGGTAAAAAAGTTTTTAAAAATGGTTTTTGCATTTTGACACATCTCCACCGTAGGAGTGGTCCGTCTAGTAAAGTAGACGCTTCGTTCTTTTTAATATTATATTTGGATTTTATCATTATCCGTAAGCCTTCAATTTGTTGAGTGTATGCGTTCCTATTCCCGGGTCAATAAAAAGTTCTAAATCGTTAACTGTGTGATGAATATAACAATGATGATTTAATGTTGAGTACGCTCTCCGTTGGTCACTATAAATGGTGGTTGAAGTTTTTACTTAGTTTTTAATAATTTTTAAGAGAATTTCTCGGTCCCAAAATACATAAATTATATTCCCATAAATAGAATAAAATGCCCATAACGACAATAACCGTGATAACGAAACATATAGATCTGCGGTTCCCAAACTGAGCACCACGACCACTTTCTAAGGGCACCGCGGTCTACGGTTCATAACAAATAGTTTAAAAGGATTAAATTTTTTTCCTTATTGTTTTCGTAAAAACTCTATAGCAAATAATGTAATATTTTCTATTGTATATTCTTAATATTCGTATATTCTCATATTAACCTAATATTTGTGTATAATAATTATAATCATAATAACAATAATTTTCATATATTTATTTTTTAAGGTTAAAAATGCATTAATATATAATTAAGATAAATTTTAATAAAATTAATAAAATGAGTTATCGATAAGTATTTTTTTCTCTCTTTAATTTCATTCACAACAGAGCAACGTGGCTAAATTGGGTCTAAAAAAAGGCACAGCGAAAAAAAAAGTTTGGGAACCGCTGTACATTGTAGATCAAGAAAATCTTATCGGTAGGCCGGGTAACATTTTTAGGTTGCATATTGGACCGTTACGTCCGCGCGCGTACACGTTACACGTGCCGTAGCCTTTCAAGGTTCGCCTACGAAAACGGGACGAACCCGAGCAAAAGGTCCGACGACAGCACTACTAATGCACATTAACACCGTTGATTTATGGTGTTGGGCTTTAAAAAGCAGTAGTGTAGTTCGATAAAGTCGAACAATTTTCACGGTTAAATAAATAGGGCACGATTTATTATTACAAGGGAAAATACCCTTTTCGGGGGTCGCCGCCAGGGAAGGGCAAGTAGATCCGTAGCTGGTTTTTCTGTTCCTGTGTGATACGCCGCCGCCGCCGTCGTCCGTACGATCGCGGGGTGACCGAGTTAGGTTCTGTGTATAAAATATCGCCCCCCCTTCCGCCACCGAGTCCGTTCATCAATATAAAAACGTTATCGAGTTTTCGGGGGAAAATGGCCGCACCGGGACACTGCTAAGTCCATCGGTTCGTTGCGTACCATAAATTTCGAACGCACGGGTCCTTCCACGCATCGAAACGGTTCCCCGCCATTGATCATCATGTATTTCTACTCAAATTTGAAGGAAAAAAAATAAAAATAAAGTTTTTACGATCGAAAATAAAAAATGAAATCGACATTTTGTTCGGGGACTCTTAGCAACGCACCAGCATATAATATCCAATGCGATAGGATATTGTCCGTGCAAACCGAAACATAAGCGTAACGGCCATAAATGGATACATTTTTATCATTACAAATGCAATGTATATAATCCGATTTAATAAGGCAAATCGAATTAAAAAAAGTATTTGTTAGTTTTTTTTTCCATTATTATACGAAACGCTCCTAAAATCCCATAAAAATACGCGTTAGTATATACATAATATAAATAAATATATCACATTGTTATGAAAGTACCTACCCAAATGCATTTATACGAATATGGTATACAATTCTTGCGATCGATTTTAAATTTAATTAAAATGTCCTTTCACTAAACACAAACCCTATTTTATACGAGGGTTATTTTATTTTATTTGTTATTGTTGTACGAAAACAGGGTTTCCATAATTCAGATCATTAGCTGATATTTATTTATTTATATAAACTTGAGAGATATAAAAAAAAAAAAAAACATTATTTTTATTTGATATTGCAAAATTTGTTTGCAAAGGTCTGTAACGAATTTAAAAAGATTAATTACATCGTCGTTGGAATGTTGGAATATTTGATTGTTAGGTTAGTCATACCAGAACAAAGATCAATTTATTAGTTACACGTTGACTAATTATGATCACCCATTAAACAAATTGGTGATGTATGACGATAACGATTTTATTTTCGTTATACCTTACATATTCGTACATATTTGAATTATACCTAGTTTTTTTATTTTTTTTTTTTTTTTTACGGGACTTTCTAGGTTTACAATTTATTTCAACATTACAACATGTATGTACAATTGGTATAAACTAAAATATTAAGTTGCACATTTTATTTTCTATATTTAAATTTTATTAAACGAATAAACTAATTTTACAGTTGAAGGATAATATTTGGACCATAGTAATTTCTGAATTGGAATTAAGAATAGAAGAAAGAGTAAGTTGGATGTTTGGAGAACTAAAAAATAGTTAAACGACTACAGGATAATGAAGGGCAATTAAAAATAATATGGGAGAGGTCAGATATTATTTCCTCAGGGTGTTAAGTACAATAAGGAGAATCGTTGTTATTATACCTGGTTATTTCGTTTTGTTTGTGATATAAAACACGTACGACTTGATTTAATGTTCAATACTTCAAACTAATAAGTTTGATGTAGATGATGAAAAATACATGTGAATAAATATAAAACAGGAAAATGGCAACCTAAACTCGAGCAGAATTGGCTAAATCAAAATTCATTCAAACATTGAAAATGTACTGTGAACACATTTATTTGGACCATAATTATTGATAGGTGAGAATGTAAAACATCATTATTCAATCGGTTAATAACCCAAGTATACGGATATAATGAGTCACGTAAATATCCATTTATGATTTGAAGTATAAATTTAAACGATAGAAAAATCAAGACTAATAAATAGGGTTGTTGAACGAGACGGTGACAGAGAGAGAAAGAGTGAGAGAGAAAGAGTGAGAGAGAAAGAGAGAGAGAGAGAGAGAGAGAGAGAGAGAGAGAGAGAGAGAGAGAAAGAGAGAGAGCGCGGTAGCAGTAAACCATCTCTTCGTGATCGCAATATTCAAGCGTTTCAATTAATGTTAATTGTGGACATTGATTTTGCACGCGACGAAGGGTCTCCTCCGCGAGCGCGAGTTAAAACAAAACTTTCACTTCAGATTTCCCGTCCAAAGTTAAATCTGCTTCGTTCGGTAGTTCGCAGAGCACACAGAGTAGGGTCGATTAGGGTAAATATTGAAATCACCTTATAACTTGGCTAAGCCGGCCAAGCGTTCCCGGAAAAGGGTAGCCGATATTTACCTTGGCCCGGCAAAGACGAGTTCGAAAATGCATATACATTGAACACACACGCACGCACACAGAAACACGTGTTACACAACAACGCAACTTACACCGTCGATATGCAAATAAAGTCAAATTACTATATATGTACACGTAGTGTATACACGCACCCCGTGCGAAACGTAATAAGACGACGTGGAAATAAAATCAAACAACTAAACGCATACGCGTGTGTATGTATAACTTGGTGTATTCAAATAAAATAATCGCCGTAATAATTCTGTAAACGTTTCTGAAAAAGGTTCATCTCCGTAAACACGGTAACACACACGCGCGCACACACATACATGACACGTATTATGAGTATAAACCCGTAGGAATATTATTCTTTCACCTATCATGCCTATCCCGCTGTCGTCGCCTAACCCTTTGGTCGAACAATACGCGCAGCAGCACACACACACACACACGCACACGGTTGTTGACCCCCCCCATGGGAATTTTTTATTTTATTTTTTCATCGAATAAAGGGCGTAATTGCACAAAAGACCTTTTATTTATTTCCGTTTTTTTCGTGGGGATCTATTAAAAAAATTACTCATTGTCGGCGCCGCTAAATAGAGGCGGTCTGTTTCTATCGAGGAATCCACAGCCGGGTTTACTATACATACATGACGTGTGTGTGTGTGTGTGTGTGTGTGTACTATTTTTTAACCTCCTTTTTGACAGGTATAAAAACCCACACTCGGGATAACGGTTTTCTTCGAACAGGTCGAATCATTCCGCGGTGAGGGCTGCCAATTAAACACAATACAAACCGTAATTTTATAATAATGTATAGGTATCTGGGCTGCTGCTCGTACATTGCCGTATTCGATATTGTTTTCACATCGTGTACGAACACACACTTGGGCAGGCATATAATAATGCGTGGTACCAGCGATTTCAACCGACTCGAGCCGATATTGAACGCATACGACGAGCGCAAGACCGTAATGCATTACACCGCCGTGATCGGCGTCGGAGAAGGATTATAATTTTATCGTTTTAAAACCATCTGGTACCGAAGGGTGCACGTTGTATAAACGCGGTTTCACGCGTAAAACGTAAAAGTTATTGATTGAGACGTCGTTGTCGCGTACGCTGATCAAATCGTACGCGTAGGCACAAACGCACAGCTTGAATCTAGGTGTAATACTTAACACGACGCATATGTTCCCGCAGAGGTCGAATTACACGACCGTCGCAGAAGAACCTTTATTTACATGTCATCTGCCTTTTTACGAATGCGCTCGGCCCAATTAAACATAATTATTTCTTACATGCTAGTTAGTCGCAGTGTTGATCGTTTCGTAAAATTGTTTTCTTATAACACGTAATACGTTACACTAACTGTTGCGAAATGAACACGCAGTCATTTTATTTGTGTTCTGTACTTCCTGTGACCTGTATTTTATCGTTATT